GTTTGTGAATACATTTTAAGTACATGATATACATGATAAGCCACTTGATTTCCCATATCACAGAATAGCGATTTTAAATGCAATAAAAATATACAAAATTCAGCCTGGAATGCAGAGTTTTTCTTTTCTATTTTGACTCAAAACTTTATCATTAGAACATTTTTAGAGTACTAGTCCAAACACTTTTTTCCATCAGCTAAAAATACAATTTCAGCAGTCCAGCTTATGTTCAGGCATGATGCAATCCATTTCCGAATGGATTCCCAGTTTTTGTTAAATTCAAAGGGCTGTTAGTAACATACAGCATGTTCTTCACGCCACACCATATCATAAAGCCCACGTTTCGTTCTGAGTTACAGTCACCTTGTGGACAAAGCTGGGTTTTGTTCTGGTAACATCTGCACATCCGAGATTTCCTTTTGCAAGTGCACATGAATACACTGTTGTGGGTGGTGTAAAAGTCTCGTTAAAGACAAATGAAGTCACAGTATAAAAATATATTGTACACCTTTACGCCTAATGTAGTCCTTTTTTTCCCTATGGATTAAAAAAAACACGACTGAATGAGACAGAGAAGTTTGTAGCACCATGAAGAGTTGTATCCCAAGTTACATTAGCAGCATATGATCCGACAGAATATTGAAGGAGTGCTTCTGAGAAGATACACATTCATTCTGGTTCATCTGTACCACTGAAGCTTATACAATGAAGTGTTTTATACATTAGCAATAGTTCTGTTATTTCTAAGCTAGATAACTTATCAAAAGACACTGCCTTCCATCCTCAGAGGGCTGACAACGTTGGGGAAGGGCCTGGGGGGTGATCTGAGCGTGCCTTTACCACTGTGGGTGGGATCATCTCGATTTAGATGATCAGAAAGGAGCTCTGGATGGGTCTTTAGCACAGAACTACACAACACAACTTACGTGGCTCTATGGGATCACAACAGACTATCTGTGTGGTAGACAGCTGCTGACGCAGTATGAGAAAAATAAGACAAGGTCAACGTAGGCACTCATTTCTCAGAGATAACGGTCTGCCACTGCTAATGACGAATACTCAGTATCTGAAAGATCTCCGACGCCACACGGGTCTCAGTGGGCTGGAAGCAACTTGGGTGAACTGGTTGTTTTTTTTTTTTTTTTTTTTAATTTACATACTGGGAAGACAGTGTGTTTTGAGACACGTAAACCTTGTAAAAAAATAAACCATTGTAAAACCTTATGAAAAGACACACACTGATTCTGTGCAATATAGCAAATCGATAAGAAAACACTGTAAAAATGTACCTGTTTAAAATACCATCTACCATTTCTGAACACAAAGCATTATATATCAAAGGCCTACATATATATCATCTAATGGCACTTGAAACAAATTATAATAAGTCTTAAAATAAAAGGCATAACCTATAAGAAAGTTTCTGTAAAGGTTTAGATTCGTTTTGAAAGTGCTATATCTTGTAATATGTGTAGTATAGAGGTTGACCAAGCTCTATTTTTAAAAAAAATATTGGCCTATATATGTGTATTGCTTTCTAGATGAATGATCCTGAAATATGTACTCTTTAACATTCATTATTAGCTTAATAAAGCAATCAGCTCTGGCTCATGTTTCAGTCAGTATATGGTTTTTAAAAACCGCTACTGTCCAAATTAACACAATATGTCACTATATTCCACAAGTGACTAAGAATAATAAAGCACAAGCAACAAATAGGCAAAAATACACAGCTTGGAAGAAACACTAAATGAAATTAAAAAGCTGCACCAAGAGTAGTGCATGATCAGCCAGGACAACTGAAGTTCTGAAAAATGGAACCTGGTAATAGGATTTTAAGATGCACATTGTAACAGTGACCAACAGCTATAAAGATGGTATTTGCATCCATCGGTGGAGAATATTGCTTACGGTGTCAAGATCCTTCCACACTCATGCTTCTGTGTCTGGTGATCTAATTTGTACAAACACATGGAAGGTCAAACTGAATGAGGTTCAATATCTTGTCTGAGGTCCAAATTCTAAACTGAAATATTTTTACTTAATGATAATCCCTATTTTTTTTTTTTTTTTTTTTTAAACCAAGCAAAGGCACTACTAGAAATTCCAGGGATACTGATTCTGGCCACCCGAGAATGAAAACAGCATTGGCAACAATTATTTTTAATCACATCCAGTTGACATAAAAATGTGTCAATTTTTTTATTTTTTTAAATATTTTTTTTTAGGAAAAAAAAAAAAAGAGCCAGTTCGGTGTTACAGCCTTGTCAGACCATTGTGCAATTAAAATAAATGAGTCAGCCTCGTGTTTAATATAGATTCTCTCAAAAGGGGTTTAGTGACCACTACAGTCAATTTAAAAAACAAGTTAGCTGAATTCCCTCTTACTTGGAAGTCTTATTTCAAGTCTGTGGGGCAGCAACAGGCAAAAGGGTGTACATATGAAAATATGAGTCCACGATTTTAGCATTGGTGTCCTGGAAGATATGCCTCCACGTATTTGAATTCCACGCAGGGCGAGAATTAGGCTAAAAAATATATATATACCTACGTGGCGCCATTCCCCATTTCCAAAATGCTTTATTTAATAAATCCTGGTACTCCCTTTTTAATATTTTTTTTAATTAGCAGTGAAATACAGCCTACTAAGGCCAACGTCTCAGTTCGTTATTCTGACTTCTCTTTAAGCAAATTTTAGACAAAGTAAAGTAGTGCTTCCACCCTTTTATTTGTGATTTTTCTATTTAAAAATAGGTTTTCTATTTATTTGTGATCTGTCACCAGATTTCTTTCTCTTTTTTTTTTCCCCCCCAATGGTGATTAAAGCAATATTGAACACTAATCATTCAACTAGTGATTTAAGTAAGCAATCTGTTTCATAGAAACTAAAGGAGGCGGTCATAAAGCAGAGCTAAACGCCTACTTTCAGAGCAAATATTCTCCTAATCAAAAGCTTAGGAGCAGTTTGAAAAATTTCAAAATGTATTTCCTTATTAACATATATAATTTTAATGCCTTTGGAACACACCTTTTTTTTTAATAAAATGTAACTTTTAACAATAAAATTTAAATACATACGTATAAAAACTACTGCTCCTAGGATTTTAAAAAAAACAAACAAACATAGGAGCATGATAAAATAACAGGAGCCCAAGCTCCTTAAGAGCAACTTTGATTCTATGAAGTGCGACGTGTGTGTACATACATATAATATATATAGTGAAACCCCCACTTACATTATTACAATTTACATTTCTCCACAAATTATACTACTCCCCAATATTTTAAATAATGTATTCTATTCAGTAATCCGCACTCATTTTTAGGAATTCTTGGTAAACATCGAAATCTGCAGTGATAATTGGCCCTATAAAAGGGAAAAGAAGCTTCCACATAGGGCAGATGAGTGCTCAGAAATATTTTTCTCTCTCTTTTTAAAGAGATATATACTCTTCTATAAACCCTCCCTCCTCATAGCCACCCCAACAGACAGGGTCCCCAAATAAGGTGTTAACAAGTGCTTACTAGATATGTTTCTTAGGTCGATGCCCCAACTGATTATTAGCAAAACAGAATAATAATCCGACCTTTGAGAACATATGCTGGTTGCCTAACATGAAGAAAGCCCATAGTAACTGTTGTATTCATTGAACACAATGTTCTCGATTGTTCTTTTCACAATCACTAAGATAGCGCTTGTTTTGCTTTACTTTTCTCCCTCCCTCTACAAATTCAACTTCTTTGCAACGTTCCTCCTATTTCCCAGGGACGTGTAAAAGTGGGGTTTTACTGTATATATTTTTAGTCGCTTAAGACTTTGTGGTCATTCCTCAAATAGTTTTCGAATGCATTTAACTTTAAAGTCTCCGTCCAAAAATAGCAAAGGAAAGATGAATTAACACTGAATAAGAAAGATGCCATGGGAGCGGGGCTGTTGTTTTGTTTTCTGCTTTTGGCGCTTAGGGACCACGAACTGCCTGAAATTCAGCAAGAAGTGACATAAGCGATGTGCTTTGACTTGACTCCTAAGGGATCTCGTTTCCACCCTGGCGACAGGGGACGCGATCCCCAGACAAGTTCCCAGGCAGAGCTGCAGGTCTCACACCCGTCTCCCTGCCTAGGGTCTCTCACCCTAGAAGCGGAGACACCTCCCCTCCCCCTGCCCCCCTCGAGCTGCAGGTCTCACACCCGTCTCCCTGCCTAGGGTCTCTCACCCTAGAAGCGGAGACACCTCCCCTCCCCCTGCCCCCCTCCCCCCATCCCCTGCCGGGATAAACACACCTGTGTTTCCCAGCGGCTCTGGACTCTGGACCGACTGTACACTGACAATCCAAGGAAAACTGCTGGCTGTGCTTGACCTACCCTCTGGCCATGTAAGGTGGAAAAGACGAAAAGAGATCCATCCAGAGACTGACTGAAGACTCTGACGCCATACACTATTAGTGTGAACCGAACGAAAAGAGAGCAAGAAGTATAAAACGTGGCAAACATCCTGTGTACTAAATTAGGGCCAACTCTTGAGTAACGTGGAATGCCGTGTCACCTTACTAGGGGTCTCTTTTTGCTACAGATACTGGTGCTTTGTGTTTCGGTTTTGTTTTCCTTATATGTGCATAATAAAGACGGCAAACATTTGAGCCAGACGATAGCGAGTCTTCAAAATATACTGACCTGAAATTATGGTCTATCTAAGAAACATACGTCATGTCCCCAGACTGGATTCTTAATTCATTTGAAGCTTTTGATTATTAATCCATTTAGAGGCTAGTAAGAATTTTACAACTCTCGGGTCATTCATATACATTTTAGAAAATTTAACTCTCTTGCAAAATTTTTTAATGAGCCAAATGTCAAAAGGTAGAGCCATTGTTATTGGACAAAAAATGAAAAATTTAAGATCTAACAGTAATTGGAACACGGGGTTGGTAAGACTTTACTACTAGTAATGGCCTTCCTATATGAGAAATCATCTTAAATTGTGACAGTTGGCAGTGAGTCAGGACAAAATACCCAGGTAAACATAACTGAACACAAATGGTTCCAAAGCTCATTTAAAAAGCTAGTTTCTATTTTATACTGGCTTAATGAAAACTGGTACTATACAGAAGCAGAAATTTGTATACTGTCTGCAAGTAGGCACTAAAATAAAAATGGTCACCTAAGGCAGGGCTACACACACAGACTTCTGTAACGGATCCGCATCGTGGAACCTACTGAAAAGCTTGGTGGAAACGTGGCAGCGTTGTGCTTGTGCTTAAACTACTGGTGAAAGCTGCTGATAGTGAGTGCAGAGAGCCCAGACCTATGGTGCTGGCAGGATCCGGAAGTTCCTGGGTTTGTGGCGGGAGCTGAGCCACAGAAGAATGTGCCTCCTCCTGGGGAGAGCTCACCCCAAGGCTCCCCACCGATATGGGGTTATAGGGGGGGCCGCTTAATGGTATGAAATTAAACAGCTGAGAAAAGTCCAGCGCTGCTGTGTTCAGGGGCTCGCTGATAGAAATCGAGCTTTTTGACAGGGAGAGGTCCCCCGTGCCGTCATCCAGCGACCCGATCTGCGGCTCCAACGCTAGTTTAGACGACGATGCTTGAGAGTCCTGGGAAGAGGGGGGCACGCTGCCTTGCAGTTCCATCAGGTAGCTCTCGATCTCCCCCTTCAGCGGCTGTTCCTTTTCGGGGATGGAAATGGCGTATGAGGTAGAACCGAACGGGTATTTGAAAGAAAGGTGGTGAGAGGGGTGGACAGCGTCCATGTCTATTGGGCACGTCATGCCCAAAGGCAGGGTGGTGATCATCTGGTGGGCAGATCCCGAGCTCTGCATGGACTGGAACGGAGTGTTGTACAGGTTCAGCTGCAGCGTGTTTGTGAACGGCTTCGACAACAGTTCGCTGGAAGGCAGGGACATCACCGGGAGGAGCTCGTCCTTGATGGGCACGGAGACGTTGCAGGTAAAGGGATCCAGGAAGTCCACGGGCTCCGTCTTGACCTTCCGGAGCTCCTGGTTGTGGCTCTTCTTCATGTGCCGCGTCAGGTGGTCCTTGCGCCCGAACCTCTGTGCACAGTACTGGCAGAGGAAGTCCTTCCTTCCCGTGTGCACCACCATGTGTCTGCGCACGTCCTTGCGCGTGTAGAAACGGCGGTCGCAGTGCTCGCACTGGTGTTTCTTCTCCTTCACGCCCCCCGACGACTTGCCCGCGTGGGACTTCAGGTGCTCCAGCAGCACGCCCGTGCTCTCGAACGTCTGCAGGCAGACCTTGCAGGTGAGGTCGCCGCTCGTGGCCGCGTGCAAGGCCAGGTGCCGCTTGAACCCGAGCTTGGTGTTGTAGTTCTTGCCGCACTCTTCGCACGTGAACGTCTCTTTGTTGGGGTCGTGTGTGTGCAGGTGATTCTTCAGGTGGTCCTTCCGGTGAAACATTTTCTCACAGTAATTACACTTGTGGGTTTTCTCGGGAGAGTGCGTGGCCATGTGCCTTGAACACAGACATATTCTGTCAGCATCACGACAAAAAACCGCCCGACCTCACTGTTCAAACGGAAGCTAAGCTGCTAGGCTAACCCAGAACCTCCCTCGGCTCGGACACTCTTTTAACTTAATATGCATCTGCTACGAGGGTAGTTACCACACCTAAACACTGCAGAGCTGGAGCCATCTAAGTCGCCACTTTAGTTTTCACTGGTTTTTAGCGATTACAAACGTTAACGAGCAAGGCTGAATATACTCACGTTAATGTCCACACCCTTTTCTTGCAATTTCTTTTTTGTACAAATGGAAATTCTACTCTCATTAAGCATTGCATTAAAAAAAAAAAAATCCAAAAACACTAACACATAAAAGTCTTTGACTCAGAATTGCTAAAACTAGCCAACGTCTAATCTACTTAACATTTCTCTCTGCAAATCAGCGGAAAGATGTGGATACAAATATATACGTTTACAATGGCTTCAAATGGCCAACATAATAGAAAATAGAATCTGAAAGACAAATAGAGTTTAATACCTTTGTAATTTGTACTTAGAAACAAAGGCTTTCGTGCAGTCTTGTTGTATGCACTTGTAGGGCCTCTCTCCTGTGTGAGAGTAGGAGTGGACCTTTAATTTCTCAACACTGTTAAAGGCCTTGTCACACAGTTGGCAAGGAAAGTTTTTTCTTGGTTTGGTTTCACCACGCTTACGTTTCCCTGAAGGGACTTTCTGGGTATCTCTTACTTCTGACAAATCACCAGGAATGACAGTGGCCATCGCAGCCTAAACCAGGCCTTCTTGTTGGACACTTGGGAACTGCCCAACTCCACTAAATGATTTAGCTTTAGGTGGCTTCTCAAGTTTCATGTGGTCGTAAAAGAAAGCAAAAAGGGACTGGAAAAAAAAAATAAGAAACAACTAGTTTGTAACTAGATTTAATTTTTAAAAGTTTTATTTGCTATGTGATGCTTTTGAATTAAAAAAAAAAGAAACCATAAAATGGATTCAGCTGGTCTAATGTAATATCTGTAGGCTTCTTTATATTTGTCAAAACACATATTAACGCATTGCTCAGAATGAACAGTTCACAGATCCCCTGAAATCCCACCTGACAAACGTCGTACTCAGGGAAAGCAGTCAGGAACTCTCGGGAGGCATCAAGACATGATACTAAAAGTGGCATTATTAAAGCTTCACTTTTTACAAGGGACTGGAGAACATAAATCTCGCTAAGGACATAAAAATGCTTCCACAAATATTTTAATGTCTAAAAATCATTTGTGCAATAATTTGTGCAAGCCAGGTCTAGTCACGCTCTGTGTTATAGGAAAATATAGATTAGCAGCCGAAAACTCTTTCAGGCACCTTGTGAACCATTTAGTCCTGGGAAGGAGTACTCAAGGCACAGACACCAGAGGCCTGAAAGAGTTGAACGCATCACCCAAATTGAAAATTGATTCTTTATACCAGTGTCATCACACACAGAGGGATTTCTGAGTCAAGAGCAGAAATGACTTGTCTTCGTAACAAACGTGCATTCTTGAAATGGTAAAACCTTTTGGTGTTACATTAGATGAGGATCATGGCTCCCTGTCTCTTGGGTGGAAGCAATGATTTGGCTGAAGTCATTTTCCCCACCATTTTTCACATCACAGAAAATGATGCTGTTCTTTGGGCACCCGAGGTGAGTGGAAGAGCCAGAGCTGGGGGACCAGTCTCTGACACACCTGTGACCCGTGTGGGTGTGAGCACACCAGTGGGCCTTGTGGCTTAGAGCACGATACCTGTGCAGGGAGGCATCAGTGTAGAGGTGTGTCAGGTTGTAAAAGCTGTGTCAGAGTTTCAATTCATTATCGGTGCTGTGAGAAGGAAGGAAATGTATATATTGTATGGCAAAGAGTATGTCTACCTAGACAAAAACTTAAATTGACTGAAACCTTTGAAAATTTGTGGACCAGAGATAGGAAATATTATCAACTGTATTTCTCAGAGGAAGAAACCAACTCCCCAAAGATCCAAGTGACATAAACAAGTTAAATGGTCCCTCCAGGTTCGTGAATGCTAGTTTTTAGCAAGGTATTTATTTTTAAGAGACACAGAAATAATTCCAGCAAGCTCTTTGAAAAAGATCTGATTTTAAATGGAAAATTGGCATGTGCAGCTAAATGACTGTCATCAACTACTAATCAATTGGATTTCTCATCCTATTATATATTCAGAAAACAATGAAAACCAATTTCTTTGTTTCACTTGTGTTTTGGCATCAGACTGACACTTGCCCTCGCGAGCTAGATGGATGATCTGACTTTTGCAGATTCCAGTTATCCTTTTGCAGGAGCTCCAAATTTAGCCTACGTTTTTGTAAAATTAAGTGTACATTACAACAGATCCTATTGCATTTTAATGTAGAGGCTATCATTAAACAGGCAAAATATAGCAATTATCCACTCATTTGATGGAAGTGTACAGCATATGGGTAAATTAATTGGTGTCTGGTTCACACTCAGTAGGTAGATACAGGCAAGGCCTTGCTTCATGCTGTTCAAATTGCCTACGTCTCCTTTGCAGTTTAAAACTGACATTAACACAATTAATGCAACTGACATTACTACTGCTAACACAGTATGTTCCCTCTGGTTTTAGAGTTTTCTGCATCTCAAGGACTTGTTCTTTTCCTCTTATATTTTCATTCAAGAGACAGCTTCTCTGCCTCTCTCAGAAATATCTAAACAGCTATTCTGCTGTAACCAGTAATGACACTGTAAATTGGTATAAAGCATTCTGCCAAAGCGGGAAAAAAGAATAATTTTGACTCTCTTATTTCCTAGCATGATGCTTTTGTGCACCTATTTAGAACATTGTGGGAAACAAGCTGATAAATTTTTCAACTGTAAAATCAACATGGAATGCAAAGTATCTAAATCCCTGTATACAGCTAATATCTGAAAATATTTCAAAGACTGGTCATATTTTGCCATTATTGTGTTATGAGACCCAACCATAATTGGGCAGAGAATTCCAGTTGAGGAAAATAACAACTTCTAAGTTACTGAAAAGAATGTACTAAAAGTGCACCATGAAACAACAAACATTTGATCATATGAAAATTGGTGATACTTAATATGGAGTAACAAATGAATTCTGTTATCTTTGGATGTACAGACTGAGCAATGAAGAATTGCAGATTTCAAATATTACACTTTTCTAAGACCAGCTGAAATTTTTTCATGGCTAACAATATCTTTTATCTCAATATATTACAAAACTCAAATTACTTATAGGTGCATTTAAGAACTACAGGATAAACATAAAGTTGCAAGCTCAACATTGAATAAAAATCCAAATTCATAATATTCATAGCAATCAAATACTTTAAAGATACGTGCATAAAACTATAGTGATTTCTGTTCAATGCATACCTGATGACAGATGGAAAAAGCGTCAGACCTTGATCTTAGCCAGTTCCATTGACTCTTCGTGGAAGAGAGCGGAATCCAGTCCTTCCCATTTTGGCCAATCTATGAAACAAAAAATAAGAATGGACTACACTCTACACGGAACCAGTCCGCAAGTGATGGAAAATACAGGATCAAAGAATGGCAATTTCATGACACATGCTTTCATTCCGCACTCTGCTGAAGAGTCATGCATTAATTTCCACCAATTGCAAATCTTTATTAGTTCAAAGCACGTTTACATGTGACCAAATTAAGGCAGAAACAAAAAGTAAAACAGTATTACCTAGATAAATGGCATTTGGTGATGCTGAATGACTCCCCACTTCTTTCCCAAATTCAATTTAATTTTTTAAACCTAACTCGCCTACTGAGAGAAATGGATATTAGGGTTACTATTTGTAAGCCAAACGGATCAAGTTTTCATTAATCCAAATAATATTCGGGAAGAGACAAGCGCAGTTCTCTCCCGGGGAGAGCACACCTGTAGCCTGACCGCAGCCCAGCAGGCTCCAGAGGACAGCACCTCCCAGGCTCACAGGCACACGACGGTGCAACGTGGGCTTCTCTGGGCTGCACTTGTGTTACCTGCGATACCCGCCAATTTATTTCTCAGAATGCTGCAAGCGCTGCTGAAATGTAGCAATAACTCTGTGCTCCTTAGATTTCAAAAGCATGCAAGGGAAGTTAAATATAGGTTTGCTACAGGAGAAGGGGTGTCAGGAAGAGAGCATCATCTGGTTTTAAGAGATCACTGTTGAAAAGTCTTAAAATATCTTAAAAAATGCTATTAGTAGCATGATCCTCAGTAGACTAAGAACGCGCATAGAAAAAAATCTAATCATTCTGACTGTACAAGTAAATGTGAAAAGAATAATGGTCAAAAAGCAGAAAAAAGCAGAATCATCTATTATAGAGAGTACAGGGTAGTAAACCCTGAATAGTTTAAAGATGACCATTCAGAAATCATGATTATGACAACTTGAGAGGGATAATACAAATCAAATAGTTAGAATAAGATTCACCAATGACAGGTTAAATGAAAATAATTTTACTTAACATTCTAAACACGAATCTAATTAATTTCCCCTGAAATCAAATTTTCACATACTTTAAGAATTTGATGATGTGTAAATAAAATATTCAATAGAGGGCATTCAAGCATCATTACAAAAATACTAAGGGTATATTTGAAAGCAGCATTATTCTCATAGTTTAAAAGACAAGAAAAATAAAAATTTAGACTAATAAAGGATGTTTAAAAAGTTAAAGCAAAAGCTCAATTTTTTTTGTAAAGCACAGGACATGCATAAATGGAAGAACTGAATTCTGCACATCAAAATTGCAAAATAATAAAATTAACTTTGTAAATACTTACTTGCCCAGGGCACATACTAAGTTTTGGGTAGGCTAATTAAGAATACGAAAGCCTATTTTGTGCATTACGTTATTTTGATAATGTAAATACCTTACAAGTGGAGGGTGTTTTCATCTCTATTACCTCCCTGGAATTCAATGGACCTGAGAGGTGGATGCTTTTATCACCATATCCATTTTAAGGTGAGAGGCCCAGAGAAGCTGAACATCTCGACAGCATATATGTGGTCAAGAAGGGGCTAGTGCCCTACGTCATTCTTATTCTACTGCATTCTAGGAGAAGGGCTGATTGGCAAACCAATTCGAGAGCGGATAAATCCTGTCATTGCACTTAAAAGGCGAGAGCAGGTGTCAGTGCCTATTTCTCTATCAGAGCTGCCAATACGACCCTCAAACAGAAACACATTTAAGATTTAAAAAGCTTCTTTTAAATAAAGACAGTCGGTAAAGTAATCTTTAAGTAATTTAAATAGCAGTTAAAAGAACAACTAGTATGTCTGTCTTAGTGGATAGTGATTTGGGTAGAAAAAAATCTAAAACCAAAGTTGACTAGTGAACAATAAACTTACATATTTTTTTCTTTTTTCCCCTGACCAATATAAATTTTATTGCATCTCAAATACATCCATAAAAATTTTATTTACGCTTACTGTTCAATGGCGTTTGTAATAAAAATCCTTTAGAGTCAAAATGTTTCAGTACAGTTTAAAATTGTATGTCTCTCGATTTGAAATGTTACAATAGTCTACAAATTACCCCAGTTACATATTTTACAGCTTGAAATAAAATACTAAATAGATATCATTTTCATTCATTTTTATCACAAAACATAATTCCAAAGTCATGGTTAACTTCCCTAAATTCAGCCTAATTATTCTGAGTTCTTATGAGTGGCTAATTATTTCCCCAAACAAAGGAAACCAGAAGCTGTTTAGAGTTCATTATTATTTGGCTTTGGTATAATAAACATAAATACACAGTTTCCATTCATGGAATCCTAACTAAAATGTCAACTAAAATTACCTGTGTATTCTCTTTTATACTGTTAAGAAAAACTTTTCTTTAATTAATTTATTTTTAACATCTTTATTGGAGTATGATTGCTTTCTACTGTTGTGTTAGTTTTTGCTGTGTAACAAAGTGAATCAGTTATATGTATACATATATCCCCATATCCCCTCCCTCTTGAGTCTCCCTCCCACCCTCCCTATCCCACCCCTGTAAATGGTCACAAAGCACCGAGCTGATCTCCCTGTGCTATGCGGCTGCTTCCCACTAGCTATCTATTTTACATTTGGTAGTGTATATATGTCCATGCCACTCTCTCACTTCATCCCAGCTTACCCTTCCCCCTCCCCATATGCTCAAGTCCATTCTCTACGTCTGCATCTTTATTCCTGCCCTGCCCCTAGGTTCTTCAGAACCATTTTTTTTTTCTTTTAGATTCCATATATATGTGTTAGCATACGGTATTTGTTTTTCTCTTTCTGACTTACTTCACTCTGTATGACACACCCTAGGTCCATCCACCTCACTACAAATAACTCAATTTCGTTTCGTTTTATGGCTGAGTGATATTCCATTGTATATATGTGCCACATCTTCTTTATCCATTCATCTGTTGATGGACATTTAGGTTGGTTCCATGTCCTGGCTACTGTAAGTAGTGCTGCAATGAACACTGAGCTACATGACTCTTTTTGAATTAGGGTTATCTCAGGGTACATGCCCAGTAGTGGGACTGCTGGGTCGTATGGTAGTTCTATTTTTAGTTTTTTAAGGACCCTCCATACTGTTCTCCAGAGTGGCTGTATCAATTTACATTCCCACCAACAGTGCCAGAGGGTTCCCTTTTCTCCACACCTTCTCCAGCATTTATCGTTTGTAGATTTTTAAGAAAAACTTTTAAAAAGCATGGTGACCACTATTCTGAAAAGTCTGCAACAAAATTTGTACTCCAGTTTTTCTTTTTTACATATCGAAAATTGGTTACTATGCTTTTTCAAATAACTAAAGTTCTTTGTCTTGATCTAAAGAATCATGAAGCAACATAGAAAATATACATCTACCCATTTCAAATTGCTCTAAGATGAAGTAACACTTCAGAATACCTGCCCAGTTTTTGCTGGTACCAGAACAGATTTTTTTTCCTAGGGCAACTTTGCATACACAAAAACAATAATTAAAGGGGATACAGTGTGTGCGCACACACACACACACAGGTTTATTATCTCTGTGTTTTACATTCTAAAACGGTGACTCACACACAAAAAAATAACGAGGAAAATGAATCATACATCAGAGGGTCTACTAAAACGAATTCCTATGAGGATGCTGGCCACAGAACAGGCCTGAATTAAAACTGTTTCTGTACTTAAAATTTCACAGTTCTAAAAGTCATTTCTCTAAGAGCTGTGAAGTTTTACAACACTTACCTGCATCAATAATTCTTTCACATTTAATTTAAAACTCAAGCATATACTTTGCAAATTAAGGGCAAGTGCCATCATACTCAAAGCTTTATTCTCCTTCATGCTAATCATAAAACACCATTCATTAGTAAACAATTCAGAAAATGTCAACATTTGATTAAAACATGTTTTTCATATAGAGTAAATAGGTGGGTTGCAAAAGGAAATTTACCAGTAGTTAATACTTTAATTTACACGTATAAAATACAATAAAGCTTTGAATAATGTGCAAGAAATTATTAACACGATAACATAACTGCAGTCAATTCTGAAGGGCGACAGCACACTTAGAACACTTCTTTGATCCTGTATGATAATGTGGACATTTTTACAGCATTCAATTTTTGTAGGTCTGTAAAATCACTTATTAATTAAAGGAAAAAACATATCTTGCAAGTATACAAATCTAAGACAGCATTAAAAGTAGACTGTAGGCAGCATTGGGGCAGGAGCTGTGTTAGTTTCATTCGCTGTTGTTTCCCAAAAACGGAAGTAGAATTTTTGTTGATTGAATGAAAATAATTAAAGCAGGGCAAGTGCTTTCCAGCAAGGAAGTGAACTATAGGCTCAATCCCCACAGTAGACACAGGACAGGATACATATATCTAAGTTCAAGTGAAAAATAATACAGTGTGGATACAATTTGGTCCAACACACTAAATTAAGTCACTAGAAAGGGACTCCCTAAACCTAACAGCTATTTGTAAGGCCTTAGATTAAAACAATAGTAACTGCAGGAAAAGCTGTCTAAAATACTCATTTTGTTTCAGAAAACAAGCATTCTCTGATTGACCTTACTGCTAAGCAATCAGTTAGTACAAGTGTATAATATCCGTTTGGTCCACACTCATTCCTAATAAAAACTTCTAAAGTGCAAACATGCCTGGAGCCTGCGTCCATGACTGGCATAGAGCAGGAAGGATGGCTGGATGGTTAGGTAGTTAGAGAGGCTGCTGATGCCGCAAGAGGACAGGAAGGAGAAGGGCACCCGCCCAGAAGCAGGAGACATGGCAAAGGGCGGGGCTGCACCTGACCTGACCCATCCAAGTTGTAAGCAGGTACCCAAATGACTCACACCCGGAATACCAAAAATTACAGAACTTATCTTCCTGTGGTAGATGTCGTTAACTGATATCAATCAATTATAAGGATGCCTTTTTAGAATTACTGTATGTGATATTTTCAACTTTTGAGCAATTCATTAAAATGCAGTTCTAGGACAACACTTTTGAAACTTACCATGCAATTTAGCCTTACAATATTTAGAAAGGCTTATATTTAATATACAAATACTGAAAGCCAACAGAGACGTGAAAGGAGTAGCAGACCTATTTGTTTTTAGGAACCAAGAGGAAAAAGTCAATGAATTCCAAAGTGGAATCAACAAATTCCAACCTTAGTTCTCTTATCTGCAGGACAAGGAGGTTCCTTTGGGGGCCACCTGGAGCCTGGGTGTGGTTG